TTTTTATTCATATGAATCTATTTATGATACATAAATATGATCATCTATAAACTACTGTTGCCTTAAGAACAAGGTTCATTTTGGCAAAATATGTCCTTGAATTTCAACTGTATCTTTATATTATAAACCACAACTTGATTCTTAAACGGATCATTTTCTAAGCTTTCATGCTTTAGGTAAAACAAATCTCTTCATAAGAGTACATTATAGGCACCAATGTCAGCATATTTTGGAGATGGCGTCAAAGTACGATGATTTAGTGAATTTTTCGGATCTAAATGCGTAAGGAAAACCCTGACCGTAACATGCGATCCAATATTTTCTGTAACTAAAAGGTGCAAAGGTTTATATTGAATCACTTCACACAAACATTTTATTGATCAGGAGTTGCGGCCAAAGAAAATTGTGTTAAAAAATTTAATAATTCGTTTCTGCGTAATTTACAATTTGATATGCTTAAAACAAGTAATTTTGTTTTAACAGCAATATCTAAAATATTTCTAGCTGAAAAAAAAACAAATTAAAATTTTAGGGCGAATTTTAACCTTTCGTGAACCTACTACCTTGCTATATATATAGACGGAAGGATGATGTTGAGGCTATTTGTTGAGTAGCAAAATGTGCTTAAAGTTCCAAGAAGGTTTTTCGGAAGGAACTATTTGTCTATTAAATGTTTTTATTCATTTCTTTTGAAGATTATGGAATATATAAGGACGCAGGAGTCTTACTCAACTCAGATACCGTGGCTTCATATACAGTTACAGTAGAATGTGACGACGGAGACGATGAAGTGGAAACTGCGCTGACTATCAACTTAATCCCAAATCAGGCAAATAAATTACCGAAAACATTTATATCTTATGGAGTGAAACACTATAAAGTGATGTCATACTGATTTTTCAGTTTTTGATTACAAGTGAATTTAAGCATGACATCGTTTAACCTTTAAACAATTTAGTTCTAAATAGAAAAAAAACAATGATATGAACCCATCTTTTAATGCTATAATGAGATAAGTTTAAACAAAAAATATTTTCTATTAGAATACATTCTATATAATCCGAACAAATTCTAAGTAAGATGATTTTAGATAATTTTTTTTTTATTAAAGTGTCACCATGTATCTATATATCTATATGTTTACACACAAAGTCATAAGAACCTAACATGTAGTAAAACGTCTTAAGATAATTTATCTTATTGAAGTGTCACCATGTATCTATACATCTATATATTTACACACAAAGTCATAAGAACCTAACCAGGACAAAAACGTCTTATAAAGCACTGTCATTTTAAACAGACATTTAATACCTGCATAAAAAGACAACTTTTTTTTAAATGTAAAAAGTATTTCGTAGATAAAAAAAAACATATATAAATATTTAGATTACAACATGTTTTCGTCGATAAATCATAGATTAAAGGGATTTAGCTAAAAGAGGAACCATATTCTCATTGCACATAAGATAACGGAGTTTTTTTAATATCGCATACATAATCAAAATCAACATTTAACAATAGATGCAGTTAAGTCTGCCTCATATCTTGAAATTGACAATGAGGATAGGTTGAAAACAAAACTTTACGACAAAAGAGATGATTTCAGCTTCCCAATTGTGAACTTTCCATTTCTATGAAGCAATATTCCAGTAGCGCCTGCATACGGAGTATATATCTCCCAGTTGCTACGATATTCCATTGCTTGTATTTCCTATCATGATTTCCTTGATAGAGGGTTGCTGCTCACAAGGAAGCAATTAAACCAAGAATTGCAAGTGGTGAAGTTGAAATCATCCCTTCGTAAATTTTACGGACGCCATTACGAGTTGGTTGACCGTTATAGAATAAACGTTTCACAGATGATAGCGGATATGTTCCAATTGTCGAAACTACAATCCTGTCCCCTTATTCTCGAATATGACCTACCGAATAAGACTTATTACCGGGTTTATACCAACATGAGCAACACGACGAGTGCCACATGTGGAGCAGGATTTGCTTACCCCTCCGGAGCACCAGAGATCACCCCCAGTTTTTGGTGGGGTTCGTGTTGCTCAGTCTTTAGTTTTCTATGTTGTGTTTTGTGTACAATTGTTTGTTTGTTTTGTTTGTTATGTTTTTGTTTTTAGCCATGGTGTTATCAGCTTATTTTCGACTGAGTTTGAATTTCCCTTTGATAACTTTCGCCTCTCTTTTACAAAACAGGATTATTTCCTTCCTCTATTTGAACTGTACACGTATACCTAACAACAACATTATTTTTATTTACCTGTGTTTAAAGTAATTGCAAATGGCTGATATTTTTGTTCAAGTATATTGTTTTTCTTCAATTGTTTAACATTTCACAGCGGTATAACTTGTTACTTTAATTATTCTTCTTTTAGTTTATTTATTTTGTATTTGCATTGTATCATAGATCAAATTTATTTGTTCAGTGTATGTTCACTGGTGTTGATATGTCTTTTAGTTGAGTTAAGCCATTTCAATTGATATTTTATAGTGTGTTTTTCTATGTTGTGATGTTACACTATTGTTTCAGATAAGGGTGAAGGTTTGGTACCATTAAAACCTTTAAACCCGCTGCAATTGTTTGCACATGTCCTAAGTCAGGAATCTGATGTTCAGTAGTTGTCGTTTGTTGATGTGGTTCATAAGTGTTTCTCGTTTCTCGTTTTTTATACAGATTAGACCGTTGGTTTTCCCGTTTGAATGGTTTTACACTAGTAATTTTTGGGGCCCTTTATAGCTTGCTGTTCGGTGTGAGCCAAGGCTCGTGTTCCGTGTTGAAGACCGTACTTTGACCTATAATGGTTTACTTTTATAAATTTTGACTTGGATGGAGAGTTGTCTCATTGGCACTCATACGACATCTTCTTATATCTATTTGGCATATAATTCATGTCTGATATCAGACTAAAACAACAATTAAAGAGAAATTGCTTCTCATATTCAATTTCGCAACTATCCCAAAAAATACACAAACGATCTTGTAAAGGTTCTGGTGGTCTAGTATATCGAACCAGCTGTGAATAGTGACAAAATAGTGGCATCTATTATTATCAAACTTTACATGAGGCTCTGTACCAATACAAGTTTTAAACAATCTATAAAATCTTAATTTATTACCATTGACATTATTGTTATCTTTCCATAACTCCTGATACCAAGATTCTTTTTCAAAAGTTTGTATAGAATTCCAAAAATTACTCATATTAATATCATCTTCTACATTTTCAATCATTTTATATTAATGTGCTAACTGTAACACTTTATAATTTCATGACGACTTTCTTCTAATAGCCGAGATATGAACCTTTTTACATATTATACTGGTATTGTCACATTTAAGACTATTCCGTAATTTGAAATACAAACTTCGACTTTTAAAAGAGCATCATCTGATAAAAACCCATATCTCCTGTAGCAGCTAAATTGCTGCTTCTCCTGTGCAAGCCTACGAAAAATTGCTTTGCAAAATATTTATAAAATTATGCGTATTTATTTCCCATACACCAGAAGCATAATTAATAAATGGATTTTACTAAAGAGTCATACAGTTTTGAAAATACATCAAAATGCATACCACCAGTTTTACAAAATTTTGCTTTAATAACACCAACAGCTCTCTAAGTTGATTTAGACAATTCTTTGGCTATAATAGATGTGGTATCTTAACTATACACATATATAAAAACACAAACTTCCTAAGCTATAATTTATTAATCCTAAACGGTCGAACTACAAAATAATAATGAATCAATGCATGCAGCTTTAAGTGAACTTTCCCATGGCCCTTATCTTACTATTGAAAACATGTGCAGACAACATCGTTTCGGACTTTATCTCAATAACAATTTCACACTTAATTACATTTCCACATGTTAGCACCAATATATATGTTTACAGATCGTAAAGTCATAATGTTCAATTATCACAGTCGAATAATCCGAAAATGTCGAAACCATTATGTCATCTATTTGAATACCACAATTTGCTTCTTTAATATCTGAGACTAAATCATTTACATAGATAGAAAATAAAGTAGGCGATAAAACACAGACTTGTTTTACACAAAGAGCAACAGGAAAGAAAAATTTATGTCATAAAGTTATTTATTCTGACGGCACAATTGCCATTATTGTATAAAAAAATGAAATTTAAAGTGTTACCGCTAATACCAATATTTTTTAATTTGAATAGTAGACAGTCTCTATTAGCAGTATCAAATGCTTCCTTTGCATCCTCAAAACATACAAATGTATCTTGTTTTTGCATTTGTTTCTGCTTTTGACAATATCATCTAGCACATAAACATGATCTGTACAGTTTCTACCTTTTCGAAAACCGTTATGTTCATCACATAAAATTTCATTTTCATTGAGCCATTGATTTAAAGGCAATAGTAGTATACCGCTGTTCAAATGTCATAAATCGATCGTGAAAAAAAAAATCCGGGTTACAAACTAAAACCGAGGGAAACACATCAACTATAAGAGGAAAACAACGCAACAACAGAAACACTGAAGTGCAACAAATACAAACGCCAACATACATAGAAACGGGCTATTTGATAAAAACTGCCATATTCCTGACTTGGAACAGGACATTTTAAGAAAAAATGGTGGGTTGAACCTGGTTGTATGGCTAGCCAAACCTCCCCATTATATGGCAATGTTGGATAATTATTTAACCACTTTTTTTAAAATGTCACTCACATATTTTACATTGAATAGATAAAATAGTTCTACCTCTATATAACATAGGACCGAATTGATAAACACATTCATTTTTTGGAATAGGATTTATAATTCCATATGACCATAAGTCAAGCACTTTACCATTTTGAAAAGAGAATGAAATAAGTTTAAATAACAGGTCTATACAATAAATGTATATTAACCTTTATGATATGGTAACTTCTGTGTTATTTGCTTCAGCCACCTACAATAGTTAACCTACCAATGAGTTCAGAGATACCGGAAAGTTTAACTGCAGAGAGTTTATTGTATACAGTATCAGTGACAGATCCAAACAATGACACAGTCACGTGTGCTCTTACAATACCATCTACTATATACTACCTTCAGCCTGGATCAGTACAATTTGGTATAGTCTAATTTTGTGTGAAAACTTGCGTGTGATGGCCTGTTTTTCTTAAAGAAATGCAATGTGTCGTTATTTTTTTACCTCTTTGACCTAGAATCGATTAATTAGTTCTGAAATAAACTTTGTCAAGCAATTAGTAGTATATATACACCAAATATAAACAATTCAACAATAAAAACAAATCAAGAATAGATCAAGCTTAAGATAGATAATCTTACTCGTAATTTCAAATAGCAATGCTTAACTTATGGTTTGTACAGCGTGTGATTTAACTCAATATTTTATATTATAATACAAAAAATATATTTTGAACAAAGTTTTTTTTTATAATCTTTCAAGAAGTTTAAGATCTTAATTGTCACTTTGCAAATGTGCGTTTGTTTTTTTTTATCTTAATCATTTAAGTGTAAAATTTTGTTATGCATTGTATTCATCATGTTCAAATATATCAAGTGCTTAAAATATTTATGAACTTGAATAGGATAGCAATTTCAGTCTTTGTTTTAAACATGTTTTCATATGTATCTTTTTGTTCCTTTTCACCAAATTTTATACACAATGAGTTTGTAGAGAATCCAACAGCTTGCCTCAGAGCTGCCAAATGAGTCTAGAATGATATATACACACACAAAAGAAGGCTGATGTCAAACTAATCAAATATACTAGGCATATAATTTGTTACTCTAAACGCGCGTGTCGTCTACATAAGTCATTGTCGCTCAAATCAAAACAGTTGTAAGGCTACACAAAATACAGAGTTAATTAACTTTGAAAACCAAAGATGCCTTAAAACGGCTACGACCACCATGCCTAGGAGCAGAAATAGCTAAGTGATTCGAATAATTCAAAATTTCGTTAATAGAATATTTACAGAAAACAAATTTAGCATTTATGTTTATGTTAAATGCTGAAGTGCTGAATACTGGCTATTGATACCTTCGAGGGCGCAACTTCCATCCATCTAGTGGTTGTAAAAACTCACCTAGTATACCTGGCGTATATATTTAACGCCAGACGCTAGTTTCGTCTACATAAGACTCATCAGCTGGAATCGAATCACAACACCTGACAGGCAAAACCAATATGAAGAAGTTGAAGTGCATTGAAATTGAAAAAATAACCAAAAATGTCTAAGGCATTATATGCCTGGTGTAAGTAGAAAGTAAAAATTGCAGCTTTGTATATGTAGCTTTTGATTTTGTTTGAATGTTTATGTATTTATTGTGGAGGAGGAGGCGGGTGGTCATAGGTCATATTGTTTGTTCTGTAAAATCTTATCTGAGACACCATCTAATAGGTAGAAGATATCAAACCAACTACTTTAAAACAAAAAGATGCGGAAGATAACAATTGAACGATCAAAACTCATAAGTCGAACCAAAACTGACAACGTCAAGGCAAAAAACGAATAACGACGAAAAGACGAACAAGTTTCACAAAGCGCTTAATAGAAAAACTAAGGATCGAGCGACACGAACCATTAAAAAACTGAGATGAACTGAATGAGAATAAAAATGGTCATTAAAAACAAAACGAAGACAACTAATCAAAACTAACGAGACAAAATCAGACTGATCAAACCAACGAGATAGATGTATAGGCATAAACGGCTATATCTAAATACAAAAATGCAATAAAAAACTCCAACCAATCATGTAATGATACTAGGTGTCACTATTCAAAAACAAAGTAAAATCATAAAAATACCGAACTCCGAGGAAAATTCAAAACGGAAAGTCTCTAATCAAATGGCAAAATCAAAAGCTCAAACATATCAAACGAATCAATCGTGGTGACCGTCTAAGCTATCTTCTTTTATTAGTGAGCACATTATAACCCTGCTTTCCGAATGATGTGCCGTCTTTTATTTCCTTGTTCAAAATAGTGGTCTCATGAAGGTAGCTGCATTTGGCAGTTTTTCTTTAAATATGATTTACTTTTACGACATATTTGCTAAATTGGCAAAAAGGGAGCTCCGGTATGCACGTACATTGTGTGCCAGTATATACCCAGTAAGGTCTTCTAAATCATTTGTAATTCATTATAGTTTGTCTTTATGACCCAAAAGGTATGTGAGTATACGTTAATGAGACATCAACCCAACGACAAAAAATACAAAGAGAAATCTTTAGGATATGTCTATTTTTCGGAGTAATCGTGTTTTGTTGTTGGGTGTGATCTATTATAATGTCTTATAATTTTGGGTATTTAGAAACAATTATTTATAATTTGTTTTGTGAATTTAGTGTTAAAAGAAACAAAACAAATCGTTCGAAACACTACCCCAGGTAAAGATTTTTTCTTGCTAAATTTGGAACAATGTTTTTGTGACTTCTTTTTTGCGATACAACAAAGGAGGCGGAATATACAAAGGGGACATTCAAGACCCATAAAGTCATGAGAAATTGATAACATCATGACAAAAAAGCAAAAGACGTTGAAAAGACAAACCATGTTAACAAAACACAACTACAATATCATTATCGATTTGTCTTCCAACTGTATTGATTTGAGCGCCACTGATGAGTTTTATGTAGACGAAGTGCACGTCAAGTGTTCTTATTATAGACATAATATCTTTTGTGAGTTTTATACCTTCGATTTATAAGAATGTTTTAGATAATAAGTTTATGTCATTTTTAAACAATTATTTTTTTTATTTACAGAAACTGAGATATGGGTCCTAGGTAATCAAGGATTTGTTTACGACACTCAAAGACAATATACGTTAAACATAGAGTGTGCTGACCAGCGAGGAAGTGATTCGGGAGAGTTTTACGTTTACATTCTTCGAAACATGCCTCCATACTTCTCTAATCTTCAAGGTAACTGTATTGTAGTCATTAGTTTGAACATTCGGTGTCCAGTTATCGGTCAACAATTCAAATAACCAAATAATTATGTAAGAAAATAATTCTAAATGTCCTTAGGACAGTATGAATTGTATCTAACTGTTTAACAGCCATACATCATATATTGAGCAAAATATCGGACTGTATAAAGACTTTGGTTTTCTAATCATATACATTTTCAATATGAGGACATGGAATGTTAATTTTGTATTGATATATGCAGTTGGCACTAAAATCTTTTGTATACATATACATATCCAAATTATATGGCCTTCCTAATACCGTTTCGATTCCTAACATCACTGAAGAGACATTAATTGTCTAATCCGGATATGGTGTACACATTTTTGCACCTCATGTTTGCGATATACCATCTTTTCTGCAATTTTATTGTTTTCTGTTTGGTATTAAATTAATAGAGATCCATTTTGTTAAATCTGGTGATCCGTTTATTTGGCAATCGCCAATGGCAGTCAGCAGGGTTTAAGAACATCCGTTGTTCGACCTCCTAGTCAAATGCGTTTTGTTAAAATATACTTTTTCACTTTTTTGGTCTTTTTGAAAATGTTGTTTGTGCTGTATTTAAACCCCTCTACCAAGAAATTTGTTTTGCATGCACACGTATAACAATTGCGGTTTTTATCCAACGCAATCATAGGTATGAACGTTGTTTTAGATTTAGACTTGTTTATATTTTTGCGTTTGGGCTTGTATTATATTTGCCCTCGGGTTTATATAATCCATTCATCCTATTTCGACTCTTCAAAATTTAAGAGTCAATCCTAGATTGAGGTAAATTATATGGCCTTCTAAATACCGTTTCGATTCCTAACATCACTGAAGAGACATTAATTGTCGAAATCCGGATTTGGTGTACAAATTTTTGCACCTCATGTTTGCGGTATACCATCTTTTCCGCAAGTTTATTGTTTTCTGTTTGGTATTAAATTAATAATAAAGATCCATTTTGTTAAATCTGGTGATCTGTTTATTTGGCAATCGCCAACGGCAGTCAGCAGGGTTTAAGAACATCCGTTGTTCGACCTGCTAGTCAAATGCGTTTTGTTAAAATATACTTTTTCTTTTTTTTGGTCTTTTGGAAAATGTTGTTTGTGCTGTATTTAAACCCCTCTACCAAGAAATTTGTTTGGCATGCACACGTATAAAAATTGCGGTTTTTATCCAACGCAATTATAGGTTTGAACGTTGTTTTCAATTTAGAATTGTTTATATTTTTCGTTTGGGCTTGTATTATATATGCCTTGTTTATATACATATATATATATATTTATATAGAAGTGTAAATTGAAAACAACGTTCAATTGAAATTTGAAGAGTCAAAATAGGATGAACGGATCATATTAACCCGAAGGCAAATATAATACAAGCCCAAACGAAAAAATATAAACAATTCTAAATTGAAAACAACGTTCATACCTATGATTGCGTTGGATAAAAACCGCATTTTTACGTGTGCATGAAAAACAAATGTCTTGGTAGAGGGGTCTAAATACAGCACAAACAACATTTTTCAAAAGACAAAAAGAGTGAAAAAGTATATTTTAACAAATCGCATTTGACTAGTTACCACAGTCTAGAAGTCATATATCTGTGAAGACCCAATGTAGAAAATAAGCATAACATCAATCAGATATGAAGTAAACTATGCCTTCGTTAATCCTATATACAAACTAGAAACGAACACAAAAACACACTGAATGATTTTAGTTGAATTAATTGAGACGAAGAGATATACTTGATATTCGGGTGAACACAAAAAGACTTCTTAAAATAGTATAATAATATTCAAACAAAAGTGTTTTTTTCATTTTGGTATTGTTTGGTTGCTGTCTTATGGACGTTTTACCAACATCTTCTTTTATTTATCTACGAGTATGCATCTTCATTTGATGATGTTTTTGTATGACTATAGATAAAACTACTGTTTCGTCACAGACATCAGCTGCTGGTCAGATCATTTATACTGTAAAAAGTGTGGATCCAGAGAGTGACAATGTACAATATTCTTGGTCATCTAACACTACAAATACGCCTTTTACAATCGATCAAAATAGTAAGTAATATATGTATGTGGTTTCTCCCAACTACTGTTTATAATTGTTGTAGTCCCTATGTCTATATGCAAATACATATCGATTATACCACACTCATTTGTTTTAATACTTCATTCACTCGAGATGTTAAAATTTAGAATATGTGAAAATTGAACTATTTCTACCTACCTGGATTTTTCCAAGACAACTGCGACGATCTTTAAGTTGAAAACTGCTTTTGTCGCCTCGTGATTATAATTAAACTTTATAACTAACTTATAGATTACAACTATGAGCTATTGTCGATGAACATCACAATTAAGGAGACAGAGTGGCAGAACGTGTTTCTCCAATAATATAATGAAACACTCCGAATATAATACCGAAAAGATTGGCAAAACGTTATACGCATCTAGCATTGCTTATCAAAATATGTATTGCAGTGACGGAACAATTGCAACGATTTCCAGTGGATGCCATTCGCAAGGTTAATTTGGAAATATAATAACAAGTCTTAAAAGTGTGATGAAAACGGTTCGACAAATAAGTGAACTGTCGAAATATCTTTCATACAAAAGATCTAATCGAACAATTCATTGTATACATATATAAATCTATGGATTTCTTAGTCAACTTATCTATAACTTTGGTGTTTTTCAGAAGTACTTTTTAATAATCAAACAACCACTTGATTTCCAAAAAGTTATTTATGGCTGACTAACCAAGAACTTTTGAAAATAAGGTTCCAATTTGACAAGTTGACCTTCAGTGAATTTGGCTTTATTTTGTCCCCTTTGGTCATCTAGCTCCTCGTGTATACATTCTTGTCTTAGCTGTTGATTATTAGCGTACTTGTTCAAGTTAGATCTAGAAAAACGCTGCCAACGCATCAAATATATTAAGTGATATTTTCATTTTTAGGCAGATTACATACAGGATTTGTGTTGATTTTCGAACTCGACATTTAACTGAACAAACTTATTGATTGATACAAACTGTCATCGTAGTTTGTCTTAAATACTTTTCTTCCATATGCATTCATTGTTAAATCGAGGTATTTTGTATTATGTGTATTTATGGTCTGCTCGTTTTATTACATTCTTATGATTCCATGACTGATATTTCAGCTGGTGAGATAACTCTTACACGCTCTATAAATACTGAACTTGTAGCAGGATATGATTTGTACATAAGTGTATCAGATGGACGAAATATGGTTGCTGCTCGATCATTAACAGTTCGTATTACAGGTAAGTTATTAAATTGTTCAATAATATGAGAGATAAAACGTATAATTCTTTGTACTAAATTAATAACACGTAGTTGATGAATTAATCACTTTATAAATTTCGTTCATCCGCCGCGCTTTTCTGCTTATATGTGATTTTCATTTAAATTCAGTAATGAAATATAATTAAACTATTCGTTATAATAGAAATACATTCCGGTACTTTTTTTTAAAGTTTGTTACTGAAACAATCAATATCTACTTGTCCAAAATGAATAAAATTATTTAAAAGAAATGAATATTTTTGTTTTCAATTTGACAACACAATTTCTACGATTTTGTACGATTATTTTTGTTTGCTATTTTGTCTAATTTGCTATCAAATACTTTTGCATGATCTTCGTTAGGTAGCGTTCTGGCTTACAATTGTATCATATTTGGTCTCAGTACTTGTTTCTTCTATTTGTAGATATTAATTTTCCTCCTTCATTCCAAGCTCCATCGCAGATAATAACTGTCTTCGAAGATATAAATTCTGGATCGTCTATATTTCAACCGACAATTACAGATGAAGACTTGTTGGACAATCACACGTTTTCTGTAATATATTCTCCACCAGAGGGCGCTGTTTATTTTAATGTTGATAAATCAAGTAAGATAGTATTCTATGATTTTTATTTTTCCCATTCATGAATACAATTGGTATGTTATATTATATCCTCAAGGGATCAATATCTGTGTTATTTAACATACTGTGACTTCATTTTCTGAAAAAGAAAGGCGAAAGGTACCAAAGGGACATTCAAACTCAAAAATTAAAAACAAACTGATAACGCCATGGTAAAAAAAGAAAACAAGACCAACAGACAAACAACAGTACACAAAACACAACATAGAAAACTAAAGACTGAGCAACACGAACCCTACCAAAAACTGGGGCTGATCTCATGTTTCCGGAAGGGTAAGCAGATCCTGCTCCCCATGTAGCACCCGTCGTGTTGCTCATGTCATTCATCGTTAGCATGAATTGCTTAAGATTTTCCCTACAAATGAAAAGATTGTTCCTATAAATGAAAGGGAGCAAAATTCATCCTCTCCACCGATTGTACTATCAAAAGTTAACAAAACCTAGTTTTAAAAAATCGTAGTGTTTCATGTGTTTTACCAGGTTGACAGTGGATTTTCAAAAATAATTGTCCCATCTATGATATTTCATGTTAGGACAGAAGTGCTAACTACTAGGCTGTTAGTACAATTGGGGACGAAACATCCACCAGCCGTGATATTGACGTAGAGATCATACATTGAAACATTTCAATGTTTTTACAAAAAATCAATCATTAAAATATTCGATAGGCACTTTGCTGTTAAAGTTTTTATAACGATCGGTATCTTTATATGAAAATGACTGCCTCCAAACAAAATTTATATCTCGAACTGTACTTTTATCGTGTTAAGCCTCGTCGATGCTATCAACCTTTTTGAAGAATACTATTGCTTCTAAACATCTGCAATTTGTTAATTTTGTGGAAACAAATTCCGTTCTGGCATGAACATAAAGTATTGTACCACACATAAATTATCTGTTGTTTCAATATCTGTATTTGTTTAACCTTCAGTGGAAATCCAATAGAACTTCAATATCAAAGAGTATATATATTATATATTGTATTTAAAAACTTTTCATTTTAATTTTAAATATATCCATAAAATCAAGATGCTATTTAGCCCTTCTCCTAGTCCTAGAATGCAAATCTTACACGCTTCGGTAAAAGCTTGCATCGACAGACAAGATCAATCTTAAAAACAATTTGTATCTAAAGTGCAATACATCGCTTTACTTTCAATACCGGTATTTGAATTATTGTTTTTATTAGGAATTACCTGATTATTCTTTTTTACTGAAAATACATAAAATTCAGTTTTGGGCCACTTTTAGGTATTTGTAATGTGGTCACATGTTCAAAGCATTGTTTTTAAAAATCAAAGTATATAATTGGTTATATAAAGCTTTGGTACTGTGTATTTTAGTAAGATTTTAAAACCTTCATAGAATAGCCTTTTTAGAAATTAATTCTGACTAAATTGGCAATACTTAAAAAAAAATGTTAATGTTCATTTCTTTAGATTCAATATTCTTACAAATGTGACAATCAAACCAATATATCATAGAGCAGCTTGACAAATCACCTGATATTTATTTTATTTGAAATTGTTTTTGTTCAACTTGTTGTTGTGGTAACAGAATTAGTAAAATGAAATCAATTAAGGGTGACTGTATTTGGCACAACTTTTTGGAATTTTGGGTCCTCAATGCTCTTCAACTTTGTACTTGTTTGGCTTTATAATTATCTTGATCTGAGGTCACTGATGAGTCTTATGTAGACGAAACGCGCGTCTGGCGTATACAATTATAATCCTGGTACCTTTGATAACTATTTGGCTATTGTTTTGTCCTTTCCGATAAATAGTTTCCTCTCTATTAATGCTTCTGTTGAAGTGGATTAGCTGTATGGTAAATGTTATTTATTATACTTCAGCCGGGTTAATAGCATCTGTATATGACATTGATTACGAGACGATTCCATTCAAGTCATTTTTGTTGATAATTAGTGGTTCCGATTCGTTGTTGGAAGATACTACCAACATAACTTTGAATATACAGAACGTCAACGAGCCTCCAGTGTTTACAAAGACGAATTACTCACTTACACCTTCAGAAAACACTGTAAGTTAATAATTAAACCAACGACCAGCAGAAGCTTGTTTTAATTTTATTCAAAATTTGTATTTCAAATATCGTACCAGATCCTGCAAGGCATTTCAGAACCATAATAGTGAAAGGTCCATTAATTGGCGTGACTGTCAATTGGTAAGATGTGTCTCCTTTTAATGTTTATAGTTTAAAATAGTGATGCAACAATTTTATAATAAGCTTCCAATATGCTTTATAAAACCTTCATTATTCAATCAGATTCTTGAAAAAAAGATTAAAAAATGGTGGAATTGGGGAATGAATTTTAACGTCGTTTAATGATTCCTGTCATACACCGAATGAAATGTAAGACTATGTTTTAAATTGGCTTAAAATAACGTTTTATCAATTTATATTTCGGGGTTTTACCCAGAAACACGTTCCAATTTTGTTTTTGATGTATTAATTGTACGTCTGTCTCGAGTTACTTTTTTTTTCTTTTGTCTCGGTTTTGCCTTAATCTGCAAGCGCCTAACTATCATTCCTTTTACAAATATTCGACCTTATGGTTTTTTAACACCAATTTGATTATTTTTAAAGCAATGGAATACAAAAAATGTTTGAACCTATAGGTAGGTAAATTGTTGCTAGGAAGCATAATCGTACAGCTAGAACTGTTTTTGTTTTACTATGTTACTCCCATTTATGATATTAATAGCAGGTTTTACAAAGGCGATAACTTTTAAAAAATGTTAAAGTTCTGTTTGTTTAATTAGGGTGGTACCGCTCTTTATGGTCCGTTTTATCAGTATACAGAAGAAGATGGTGACGCTGTAAAATTTTCCCTTGACTGTGGTGTTGATACAGGCCGATTTGATATTGATTCTTCCACAGGTCTCCTGTCGTATTCAGCAGACTATGATCTAGACATGGTCGGTACAGCATCTCAGGTGAACTGTAATGTTTCTATCAGTGATAATGAGTATACAGATATGGCCTACATTAATATAACTATATCGAATGACAATGACAATGCACCAGTATTTACCTATAGTACATACACGTTCTATATACCAGTAACTTCAAGTGTTGGGTCATTTGTCGGACAGGTACAAGCAATTGATAATGATATTGGAAGTTATGGTAAGTTTGATGATTACCAGACGTAATATGAACATGTTTTGGGTTTAGTTCTTCTTCTCCTGTTTGTATTTGTCTTGTTTAACTAAACATATTCTCATCTTTATATATTAACTGATAAAAAAAACCCAAAGTTTTCTATTTCAAAACAATCTCGTGCTTCTGTTTATCCCAGCTTAGTATTTCAGTCGTATTGCAATGTTACATACAGGCATGCATTTTTATTTTGTCATTAGTCTAAAAAGTACATTGCACTTTACATCTTCTTATTTCTATATTAACTGCACTGTATGTTTCAGTTAACAATCATACAGTTCTTGTTATTTCAAATAGCTCACACATAGAGCTAGCTCTGTCTTGCCTTATCTCCCGATTCGTCTACTTAAGACTCATCAGTGGCACTCGATAAAACCAGTCTGAAAGCAAAATTAAAACGAAGCTGAAGTTGAAGTGGATTAAGAACTGAAAATTCTGAAACACGAGTAAGGCAACATGCCTAGGGTAAAAAACCCTCAGTGTTTTAGCCTGAAAACCCTGGAGCTGTCGATAATTGTTCTGTTTGAAAAATGCCACTCTCACTGCAAATTAAAGTCCTAGTTTGGCATGACATATTTGTTGTTTGGCATGCACCAATAAATGAATTAATGTAATGCATTCTTTTATTTTATTTCAGGAAATATTTTTTACCATATTGCGCTTACAGACTTCAACTATGGTTTATTTCATGTAGACGAAAATGGTTCGATATTTGTCAGCAAAAGTTTGACTCAGTATACCGAAGGCTCCGTTTTAAATCTAACGATTTATGCTGTGGATATTGGAAGCAGACAGGCTTCAACGTTGGTTGATATTGTATTTCCAACAAGTTATGTAACTCGTGTTCCCCAAGGAAATGATATACAGTACTTAACATTCTTCCGATATTCTCCAAATATGGCTTGGTTTGTTCCTTTAATGTTTGTGCTTTTCGTCACCGTCTGTGTTGTTACAAACACAATATACACAACTAACTGTACAAATTTGAAAAAAGTAAGTGATACGTTTTCTATATCCACTTCATAGTCTCCGTATGACCATAAACATTTCTGTCAATAAGTCAAATTAGCTTTATGTGATAACTCTGAAAATGTTTAACCACATGGAATAGAATCTGGCAATGATTTCAAACATACTTTTTGATTGTATTACTTTACTATTTGTTTTTCTTTACTTTTTTATCTTTCCTTCGTTAATTTCATTAGAATAATTTGACAGGCTTATCATATGCTCATCCGTGATAAAACTGTTTGTTGGCATACGATTAAAGAGAAGGTATGATAAGAGCCATTTGTTAGCCCCTGAAATTTAAACTTTTTCAAACCTTTCAAAATTATGTTAATTTTATTCACAAATGAACAAATTAAATTAATATGATCTGGACAATTTAATTCAGACATGTTACTTGTGATGTCACTATAACGTCGTTAAGATGTCCAAATCTACGTATTGGACCTAAATTGCAACTTCATGCATAGTTTTTGGGTCAAATAATCTGGCAGTATATCCTCATTTTGATATCTTGTCTTGAATTTTAAGTTATGTCCAAAAAATTTACCCAAAAATATATTTAAAACATTAACATCTTTGTAAAATACATTTTGTAGCTTTGTGGGTAAAGCTGTTGCTCATATCGAAACATTTATGAAAGATATCAAAATGAGACTATTTTGGTAGTTTATTTGCTGTTTTGCACTAAATGTAAGAAGTTTGAAGCCTTAATGCTAATATGTGAGACAAAATAGAAAAATATAGATACTGGTATCCGAAAGACTGAACATCTGAACGAGGTTATTTGTAAGATTTATAATACTTCGTTTAAACATACATTAGATATATAAATTAATGTAGAATATGTTGATTGTATATCAACAGATATAAAACTTTTATTGTTGCATCATAATACTTGCAAAGACATTGGAATTTCTATTCATAGTCATTCATGAAAAAACTGAAAACAACACGTTTTATATATTCCATGCGTCCAAAGCGCTTTTCTGGTTTTACCTTCATCAGGAATTTTCAAAGCCGAAGTTGTATTATGAGAGCAGGTCTTGTTTTACACTGATAACAATTTCGATTAATGATAAATTAATGCAGGGCTAGGAGACACAGATTTTTTTTTCACACGGCATTTTAAAGGTCAAGTTTGCAAGGAATATTCAGATGTCCCGCTGTGTGGTGTCATTTAAAACTGTTTAGATATTAACTTACCATTGTAAATATAATTGTTATAAGGAAACCCAGTGATTACCTAAAATATGTCTTGTATTTCTCTTTTGTAGCATAAGCAAGACGAAACGGAAAAGACCAATGAGATCATTATAAAATATTGAATGAACAATATGTATTCATGAATACTCTATGTTTTTGTAAGACGGAAAGAGGCGTTCATTAAAAATACTTTGAGTGTTTTCGTCTATTGTATATCAGTTATATTGATAACTATTGCACCTCAATGGTAAGGTATTATTAAATTATAAATGTCAACACAAATTCAAATTTGGAAATAATTCGAAAACTGCAATTCTGATTCATTTGATAACAAATATATTCATTAACTTTTCTACTAAGCTGATCAGGTTTCAAACTGTGATACAAACTTCTGTAAAACTTGATGTTAGCACATCTATGGCAATAAATATATCACAAGTCCAGGTATATGTATACCTAACAACAAAATTATTTTCATTTACCTGTTTTTAAAGTAATTATACCCCACGCAACGAGTTGTGGAGGGTATAATGTTTTTGACCCGTCCGTCCGTCTGTATGTCCGTCCGTCAGTCCGTCAGTCCTGTTTCTTGTCATCGCAACTCCTCTCAAACCACACAACAGAATTTCACGAAACCTTTTTAGATAATAAGGACATACTATGTAGTTGTGCATATCAACAGGAAATTACAATTCAATTCTTTTTCTAGGAGTTACGCCCCTTTCAACTTATTTACTTAAATGTACTACTGCAACAGTTTGTCATCGCAACTCCTCTCAAACCACACAACAGAATTTCATGAAACCTTTTCAGATAATAAGGACAAACTACGTAGATGTGCATATCGACAGGAAATTACAATCTAATTTTTTTCCAGGAGTTACGCCCCTTTGAACTTATTTGCCCAATATACTACTGCAACCTTTTGTCATCGCAACTTCTCTCAAACCACACAACAGAATTTCACGAAACCTTTTCAGATAATAAGGACATACTGCGTAGATGTGCATATCGACAGGAAATTACGATTCAATTTTTTTCCAGGAGTTGCGCCCCTTTGAACTTATTTGCCCAATATACTACTGCAACCTTTTGTCATCGCAACTCCTCTCTAACCACACAACATAATTTCATGAAACTGTGTAGATAATAAGGATATACTATGTAGATGTGCATATTGACAGGAAATTATGATTCAATTTTTTTTTCTGATACAATTTTTTTTTCTTACACTTATTTTATTTCTCCAATGACAATGTGGGGACGTGGGGTATGTGAGCGCGCTCACTAAGGTTCTTTTATTGCAAATGGCTGATATTTTTGTTCAAGCATATTGTTTTTCATAAATTGTTTAACATTTCACAGCTGTATAACATGTTACTTTAATTATTCTTCCTTAGTTTATTTATTTTGTATTTACATTGTATCATAGATCAAATTTATTTGTTCAGTGTATGTTCACTGGTGTTAATATGTCTTTTGATTGAGTTAAGCGATTTCAATTGATATTTTATAGTGTGTCTTTCTATGTTGTGATGTTACACTATTGTTTCAGATAAGGGTGAAGGTTTGGTACCATTAATACGTTTAAACCCGCTGCAATTGTTTGCACCTGTCATGAGTCAAGAATTTGATGTTCAGTAGTTGTCGTTTGTTGGTGTGGTTCATAAGTGTTTCTTGTTTCTCGTTTTTTATATAGATTTGACCGTTGGTTTCCCCGTTTGAATGGTTTTACACTAGTAACTTTGGGGCCCTTTATAGCTTACTGTTCGGTGTGAGCCAAGGCTCCGTATTGAAGACCGTACTTTGACCTATAATGGTTTACTTTTATAAATTTTGACTTGGATGGAGAGTTGTCTCATTGGCACTCATACCACATCTTCTTATATCTATATATAAACGGACAAATAATGGTATTCTTTTTTCGTGTGTAAAATTAAAAGTTAATTCTAAATTCAATGTAAAAAGTAAAATAACAAAAATACCGAACTCAAAGGAAAATTCAAATCGGAAAGTCCCTTATCAAATGGCAAAATCAAAAGCTCATTCACATCAAAAGAATGTAAGTTTAACTGTTTTTGGAAATTTAAAAATTACAACTTTAAAATAATGTTTTGTTAAATCTTTTTCAACTTTGCAAAAAAAAAAATTCATGATATTTTGGGGGATTTTGTCTCTTTTTCAATAAATTTGACGAAAAATGACCACAGATTTTGAGTGCATTTCAAGTTATGATTACGTTGGTACACTTTGGATCACTTATTTAACTTCTGTACAAGTTTTAATCATAATTTTAATAGTATCCTTCCAAAATATATGGCACAGTCAATAAAAAAAAAAGTCATATTGCCCCCGAAATCAATAGTATACTTTACCATACTCTATGGAAATACTGTGTTCAAATTATTTAAAAAAAAAAGATTTTCACGGAAGAAAATCTTGTCAGTAAGAGGCATTTGATATCAAACAGTACTTGATAGAAGTTTGAGGCACAATGAATCCCAAAGTTGTGTATTAATTTGAGCCCTCAACCACTGTTTTACGTAAAAAAAAATGTCAAAGATTCAAGACTTAACGCAAACTAGTTGCCCGAAAACTTAGCCCATCGGTACCAGAGTACCGACGGGGACGTGAAGGGGTTACTGCCGCCTGCTTAGCTGGGAAGCAGCAAATACCAATTTTAAAGTCTTTGGTTTGACCTGGCCGGGTTCGAACCAATGACCTCCCGCACTCGAGGTGTATACGCTACCAAGAAACCACCGAGGCGGTGCTTCAACTAGACAGTAACCCGCTATATAAAAGGTTTCGTTGGAAGCCGCTCATATATTCACCTCCGGACTCAAGGAAACATGGCTAAGGTACCAACAATTGATCTTTTTTTTTTTTGGTTGGGGCATGTTTTTCTTTAAATGTTTGATTCCAAATTTCTTGAAAAAAGGAAGCAAAAAAATAGTTTGTTTCTATGAAAATAAAAAAACAGATTTTCAATGTCCCCCGCGTTGCACATATTTTATATTTCCAAGAAAAAAGTCGATCGGCCACCATTATAGAACTTGTCCGAGATATTGCTGATATTAACCTATGGTATAAGTTTTATATAAATCTGGCAAGAATTGTACCCATGTAAGCGCTAACGAGGTCATTTTTCATAAAGGAGAAGGGGCTCTAAGGGGCAAAATTGGCCCCACTTCCAAATCTATTGATATTTCTTTCAATTGATATCTATGATATGGAGCTTATAAAACACCAAGGATTTAATAGTTATCTTTTGCCGTTTTCTTGTTATGACGTCATAAAAATGGTATGCCGACTAAGCTAAAATATCAGCTTTTTACATATTTTATCCTTTTTTTATGTATTGTGTACTTTTTACAATAGATTAAACCTTAAATAATCAACGTGAATACATTATTACTAGTGTATCATTGTATTGAAACAATGAAGAAAAAAATTGATATAAAGTTTAACTATTTAATATATATATTTAATAATAGTACGGAAGCACATGTATATGTTTTGGTAAAACACGTGTGTTTGTTTACATCAACACATGTTTTTAGAATACCTGTAATGTTTACAATGTATTCCATTGGATGAAATTCGTCGCATTGCGAATTTAAAACAGGTATTCTATGTATCGTATGATTTTGGCTCGTGTTTCTCGTGCTTGCTGTTTGATATAAATTAAATGTAATTTATAATGTTATTATTCGAAGTTCTGCCTTACGCTGAGTAGCATACGCTGTACTACTGCCTTGCCTAACCATGACAGACCACCGTTCCGAAGACGAAGACGAATTACTACTACACGAGTCTACAACTCCTGTCGTTCTTAACAGAGAAGCTGCATTTCCTAGTTTGCCTATACCAGTACCGTCGACAGCAACCCAGCAAACAGCGCCACAGCAACAAATAAGTGACAGCACTTTTCAACTGTTTACGTCGTACTTCGATTCTAAAATATCTGCATTGAAGAACGAGTTAGTGTCGGGCAACGACTCCTTAGCCACTAAGTTGAAAAAGGAAGCGTCCGTGAAACTAAAGAGTGAAGGAAATCAAATCCAATTTTCTTTCAATTCCGAAGTCCTTGCTGACCTACATAAGCTGCAAAAACGTTTTTCGAAGGAAGATTTTGTTTCTATAAATTCAATTTCCGGACTTATCTTAAAGTTGAACAAAAGAAATAAGCTCATCAGAATAGCCGATAAATCTCCTGCTGGTTGGACCACAGTTCGCGAGTACGAGAGTGACGAAATAGCATCAGATTCAGATGACGAGAAAAGACTCCGACAAGCTGAAAGCAGAGCTCTCAAAACCATCAAGGAGAAGAAAAGTCGTACTAAACCTTACGCTAAGCCTTCAGCTACTGTTTCCAGACCTCCTACTAATACTGCAGATATGCCTCTTCAACAGTACAACCAGCCGCCCTTTCGGAGGAACAGTCGCCGGGAGGCGACTTCCTATGACATGTGTTATGAATGCCACCAATTTGGACACTGGAGGACAAACTGTCCCAATAGAAGCAGCAAGCAATTTACACCAAGGAACAACCCAGCAACATAAGATAAAAGATAAGTTTCTTAATTTAGTAGATGAATATTTGTTGCATGGGCACATGAATATACTTTTCGAACATGTTAAGTATTTTGATAAAGTTGATTTTTCCAAATTCGCCAAAGGCGTCAAAAGTAGTTTATCTAAAAATGTAGCTTTTTGGGAGCACATTGGAGCAAGCAAATTTATAATTAATACTATAAAATCAGGTTATATGATTCCTTTTGTGAGTTTACCACCTCCTATGAAATTCCGCAATAATAAATCTGCAGTTGATAATACTGATTTTGTAAACGAAGCTGTTCTCGAACTTTCGAAAAACGGATGCGTACACGAAGTACCATTCCAGCCTTTTGTAGTAAATCCATTAAGTGTTGCCATTCAAAAGTCCGGGAAAAAGAGATTGATATTAGATCTATCTGAATTGAATTTATACGTTTTGAAAAATAAAATAAAATTCGAAGATTGGAAAGTTGCTCAACAATTTTTTAAAAAAGATCTATACCTAATTAAATTTGATTTAAAATCTGGATATTTTCATTTAGACATCTGCAAAGAGCAACATACATATTTAGGGTTCTTTTGTAACGGAAAGTTTTATTGCTTTTCAGTTTTAGCTTTTGGTTTGAGTTCAGCGCCTTACATTTTTACAAAATGTTTACGACCTATGGTTAAATACTGGCGTGAAAACGGTGTAGATATAGTGCTTTATCTAGATGATGGTTTAGGTATGTCAGAAGGGTATTTAGAATGTCAAAATATATCTGAATTCGTAAAGTCCTCATTGGAATTAGCTGGATTTTTGATAAATGAACAAAAATCTGTTTTTGATCCAGTTCAACGCTTGGAATGGCTAGGATTAATATGGGATTCGAAAAGCTTTAGTTTAGCAGTGTCTGAACGTAGATTAAATGATGCAAAAGAATCGCTTGACAATATTTTGAATAAATTTCCCATTATAAGTGCTCGTCAGTTAGCACAATTCACAGGTAGAATTATTTCTATGTCTCCAGTTATGGGCAATGTCACAAGCCTAATGACAAGGCATTTATATTTTGCAATTGAGAACAGAAAATCATGGGATGGTAATTTAAATATTGCTTACACTGAGTGTGTATTAGCAGAGTTGAGATTTTGGTCAGACAGTTTGACAAATCTTAATCAGAAGAATTTTGTGAATGACACCTTACCAAACATAGTGGTGTATTCAGATGCTAGTAATGTAGCCGCAGGTGCTTTTACTGTAGAGTTGAATGAAAAAGTTTTTCATTCCACATGGAGCGAATATGAGAAAAACATGACTTCGACCTGGCGAGAATTAAGGGCTATTCAATTAGCTTTGTATTCATTTAAATCTGTTTTAAAAAACAGTACTGTCAAATGGCACACCGATAATAAAAACTGTGTAAAAATAATCAATAGAGGTAGCACCAAGATGCATTTACAGTGTTTTGCATATGACATTTTTAAATTTTGTTCGAAGGAAGGAGTCATTGTACATCCAATATGGGTACCTAGATCAGAAAATTGTAGAGCTGATTTTTTGTCTAAAATGATAGATATAGATGACTGGCAAACATCTCCGGAGTTTTTTGAATTCATGGATAATTTATGGGGTCCTTATACTGTTGATAGATTTGCCAATTTTGCTAATACAAAATTGAAGCGATTTAATTCAAAATTTTGGAATCCCGGGAGTGAAGCTATTGATTCTTTTACACAAAATTGGAAAAATGAAAATAATTGGATAGTCCCTCCAATTGATTTAGTTACTAAAAGTATAAATCATTTAGTACTCTGTAAAGCCGAAGGTACCCTGATAGTACCAAAATGGCCGTCTTCATCGTTTTGGACTTTATTATCTAGAAGAAACATGGAACTTCGTCATTATGTATTGGAAGTAATTGAATTTTCCAGTGAACAACGCATATTTCTTCAAGGGAACAACAAGAATTCCATTTTTGGCTCTAAGAATTTTAATTCTGATATTTTAGCTGTTAGGCTAAGAACAATGTAGATAACTGTTTTTGTATTACTGTGACATAGACATGACACATTTTTACAAGGCTATAGAAATGATAGCGAGGTCTTTTTTAGAAATCTGACAAGGCTTTAGTACGGAGCAAGGTCAGTAATGATTATATATTAAACGCATTTGTCATGTATTATATACTTTTTTATTTACTATCTGTTTGAATTTTTACATTTTTCAGATATTTTCAGCGTTGGTAGGTGGTCATCAGAAATTCTTTCACCACACTAGCCATTACAAAATTTAGCAAAGTGTCTTCCAGAATTTTGTCTTCATTCTAGAGCTGAAAGCACTCGGAAGAAGTACAGGTACGCCTTTAACAATTTTTGTAGATGGTGTAATTCATTTAATCTTAATTCTTTACCAGCATCAGACTATGATGTTTCGTTATACCTGATTCATTTATGTAAAAAACACAAATCCGCATCTATAGTTGAAGGAGCTTACTATGCAATTAGTTGGTCACATAAACTAGCTGGATTTGCCGATCCTTGTAATTCTTTTTTATGTACATCTATTAAAGAAGGAGTTCATAGGTCAATCGGGCATTACATTGTAAAAAAGAAAGAGCCTATTACACCTGAAATTCTGTACCAGATTGTACAAAAATACGGTAACAAATTCAGTACTTTAAATCATAGAAGAATCGCCTGTATGTGTCTTACAAGTTATGCAGGATTTTTAAGATTTTCCGAACTTGTTAATTTGAAAAGATCAGATATACAGTTTTATCCTACTTATATGTCTTTATTTATCGAAAAAAGTAAGACTGACCAACACAGAGAAGGTAGTAGAGTGTTGATTTCGAAGACTAGTTCTATGACATGTCCGGTATCTATGTTACACACATATTTATCACAAGCTAACATAGCAATCGATTCTAACGAATTCATTTTTAGAGCAGTAACTTTTCGTAAGAAAACAAACACTTATGTTTTAAGAGGAATTACTCCTCTATCTTATACAAGGGCTAGAGAGTTGTTGTTAGACGCTCTTGGATCTTTAGGTCTAGAAAAATCTAATTTTGGTTTACACAGTTTGTGAGCAGGTGGTGCGACGGCTGCAGCCGCTGCTGGTATAAATGACAGGTTATTCAAGAAACATGGGAGATGGGCATCTGAAACTGCAAAAGATGGGTATGTTCAGGAAAACATATCAGAAAAATTAACAGTTTCTAAAAACCTTGGCATATGACCCTCCCCCTTTTCTTTCTTTGTTACTTTCGAAAGTATGCTACCCTCACAAGGAGAGCTCATTTCTGATACATGTGTTGAGTTTTATTGCATAAATAATTTATGTTCGTTTAAGTCTGGCGAATTAGAACATAAATATATTTAATAATAGTACGGAAGCACATGTATATGTTTTGGTAAAACACGTGTGTTTGTTTACATCAACACATGTTTTTAGAATACCTGTAATGTTTACAATGTATTCCATTGGATGAAATTCGTCGCATTGCGAATTTAAAACAGGTATTCTATGTATCGTATGATTTTGGCTCGTGTTTCTCGTGCTTCACTGTGTCTAAACTACCCCGGCGAAAAATGTTTGGACTCAATAGTATCTAATGTCCGGTACGGTGACGGACAATTAACAGACAGAGAAAGGTAGAAATTCTGTTTATTTATATGTTGTTTTAATGATATTGAAGAATATACGTACACATATAACTATTTTCGATAGTGTGATGTAATATTTTCTAAAACCGTTCTAGATTTATGAAGAAATAAGTAAAAAGGCACATCAAAATGGTGAATTGAGTGACCCCTGCCTCGAATTTGTTTAATTTCTCTTTAAAATGAGCACATTGTACGGAAAGAAAGGTACGGAAAGAAAGATATTAACTCGGTGATTTCATGACTTGTCACTATGGACACCTCAATATTTGCATGTCTGTGCATGGAATGAAAGAAGTGGGTCATGTCAAAATTAAAGCACCCGGTTTTGTCAATGTGTACGACCCGGTTTTGTCCTTAAATTTCACAAAGCAGACCTGGTTTTGTCATAGAAAATAATGCATAATCGCATGACGAAAATTAAAATATGGCGTTCAACAGCAGTTTGAGGGATCGTTGAAAAACATTTTCTTTCAGAGGATAACTTATAACCTTTTTGAATCCGTAAACACTTGAGTTCCTGCTATATTAGAACAAAGCAAATTTCAATTTTGTTTTGTATAAAAAAAAAGGAAAAATTAAAAAGAAATGAAGGTTTTGTAACGCAATTAGATTTTTTTATATCAACTATGTAAATTTAAGTGTTCAAACTTAAATAGTGTACGGCCTTGAAAATTTAAGAACGCACATTTGATATGTGATTTTCTGGGACAACAAGATGGCTTTCTTAATGTTCCGCTCTACTTGAAGGGAGAGACAGTATGATCGTTTGAAAATAAATATTCTGAAACTAAACGTTCATTATAAAGCAAGAGAATAAGAATCAAAGTACTGAAGTACTGAACATCGGATGACCGCAAGTTCTTGTGGATGGTCAAAAGCACTTGTCACAGAAAAAAATCACATCTCTATACCTGAAACTGAGGTTAATGTACAGAGATATATTTTTTTTCAATATGCAAGGGTGGACCGATGCCATGGTTTTTGAAAGGGGCGTATTCATAAACGGATTTTATGCCGCCGAGCGTAGCAAGGGGAACTTTTATTTAACGATTTTATGCTAAAAAAAATCATATATAAATCGTTAAAAACATGATAAAATGATTATTTCTAGCCACCAAAAAAGGGGGGTCGGCGTACTCCTTCTACCTCCTGGATCCGCCACTGATATAATGTAACTATATCGTATACCATCATAAAATTTAATATAAGACTAAAAAACAGAGACAGCCGCCAATCGCATATTTACTATAGGGGCTCTGTAATCAAATGAGTTAAGCCTTTTTCAACTCACTGAATTTTTGTTCATATGTTGTGCTGTAATACCAGTTTTTTTCTTGTTTGTTTTTTTTTTGGGAGGCGGTGGGGAGGGGGCGCTTACACGTTCAACCCACCCATTCTGTATGTGCCAGTACCAAATCCAGGAGCCTGTAAATCGGTGGTTGTCTTTTGTTGCTGTCTATAATACATGTATTTGTTTTTCGTTTTTTATTTTGTACATAAATCAGGTCGTTAGTTTTCACATTAGATTTTCTTTTTACAGTTTTCATTTCGGGACCTTTTTTAGCTTGCTATGCCGTATGGGTGTTTCTCATTGTTGGATGCCATACGGAGTTCTATATTTGTTAACTTTTACGTCATTTGGTCTCTGATGGAAAGCTGTCTAGTTGTCATTTTTCACGGGCTAAATTGCCACTTAGGTTGTTCTACGAAGACGAAGACGAAGATATTGGACGTTATAATGTTGCAAACCAACTTTTTTTTATAAAAAGAAAAAAATTCTTTCATGCCATGCTCAATGCTCATTTTAACATAGGTAGGCATTATATTTTTTAAACCAAACGTTAGCAAGGTATAAAATATTGACAAATATTATGCCTACCTACCCATGTTAAAATGAGCGTAGAGCATGGCATGATATAATTATTTCGTTTCTAATAGGGAAGTTTAGAACTTGTGTATTTTGAAGCGGACATAATATACACGTTCGAAAGGCAACCATTTTGATTTGAGATATCCAAAACGTTCTAATATAGATATAAGAAGATGTGGTATGAGCGCCAATGAGACAACTCTCCATCCAAGTCACAATTTGTAAAAGTAAACCATTGAATGCTTTACGTATACCTTATTGAACTTCGAACTAAATTTAAATGGAAATAAATAAAAATGTCAAAGTACGGCCTTCAAAACGGAGCTTTTTCTCTCACTTTCCGTCAATGGATGAACGAATGAGTAAATATATTGTAAACATATCGTATAGTATAGTAAAGCATACTATCCTTACTCTTTTTATAAATTGAAATGGTAACACAATCATTCCACATCTTCTTATTTTTACATCATTACAGTAGTATAGAAAATAAACAATCATTTGTGAGATGTATTTCTATTTGTATCCATCTGATGAGTTAAGCCTTTTTCAACTGATCATTATAGTTCGTTCTTATGTTGTATTGTTACATCAATTTCTCAGGTAAGGGGGAGGGTTGGGATCCCCCTAACATGTTTAACCGCGCCATATTCCGTATATTTGTACCTGTCCTAAGTCAGGAGCCTGTAATTCAGTGGTTGTCGTTTGTTGCTGTGTTACATATTTGTTTTTCGTTCATTTTTTTGTACATAATTTAGGCCGTTAGTTTCCTCGTTTGAATTGTTTTACAAATGTCAATTCGGGGCCTTTTATAGCTGACTATGCGGTATGGGCTTTGCTCGTTGTTGAAGGCCGTACGGTGACCTATAGTTGTTAATTTCTGTGTCATTTGGTCTCTTGTGAAGAGCTGTCTCATTGGCAATCACATCACATCTTCTTTTTTATATCATAAGGAATTAATGTAAGTACACGCTATAAAGTATTTATTTCCATTTAAATTTAGTTCAAAGATAAGTTCAATAAGGTATACGTATAGCATTCAAAAATGTCTACTCCTTATTTTGAAAAGTTCCCGTTTGAAATATATTTTAACACGACATGTTTGTATTGCAACAACATCTTTATAACATCCTTTTGACTCACATATTTAATTTCTTACAATGGGCAATATTCAGATCCGTGTTAACGTAGCTTTTCATAAATTTGTGGTTTCAAAACAAAACAAAACCGGGTTCTATACTGAGACAAAACCGAGTCCTTATGTAATAAACAACATTGACGAAACAGGGTCCTTCCATTTTGACATGACCCATTTCTTTCGTTCCATGCACAGAAATGCAATTATTGAGGTGCTCATTGTGACTAGCCATGCAATCTCTGTGTTAATATCTTTCTTTCCGTACTTTTCTTTCCGTACAATGTGCACAATGTAAAAAGAAATTAAACAAATTCGTAGCAAGGTTCACTCATTTCACCTTTTTCATGTGCCTTTTTACTTATCTCTCCATTAATCTAGAACGGTTGTAGAAAATAATACATCTCACAATCGAAAATAGTTATATGTGTATGTTTATTCCTCAATGTCATTAAAAAACAAATAAATAAACAGAAATTCTACCTTTTCTCTGTCTGTTGATTGTCCGTCACCGTGCCGGACATTAGATACTATCGAGTCCAAACATTTTTTGCCGGGGTAGTTTAGACACAGTGTGCTTGCTGTTTGATATAAATTAAATGTAATTTATAATGTTATTATTCGAAGTTCTGCCTTACGCTGAGTAGCATACGCCGTACTACTGCCTTGCCTGTATTAAGCCCCCCCCCCCCCCTCACCCCCCACCATCATCAAGACCATCTATTGTTTTTATATGGAAAGTAATGTTTTACTTATAATGATTTATTTAAGTTGTATTTCTTGTTTTGTAGATTGGTGTATATTTGTATGTATTAATGGTTGGCTGACTGTGATCGAGCCTGTATGACTGTTTTTATACCTAATTAATAACGACTGAGATTAAGCCGTAATGTGCTTAAAATGAACTTTGAAACGAACTGTTTGATTTATATTATACATTGGTTAATAAAAAGTATGCTACCCTCACAAGGAGAGCTCATTTCTGATACATGTGTTGAGTTTTATTGCATAAATAATTTATGTTCGTTTAAGTCTGGCGAATTAGAACATAACAGTAATATAGTTGCTATGGTAACAACAAAGTTAATATTTTTTTCTATGTATGACTAAATTACAGAATTTTTTTCACAAGAGAGAATCAACAAGTATTGTTTGTGTATTCTTTTACCTTGAATTACCAAAATGAGTATTGTGTGTATTGTATGAGTATTGTATTGTATTGTACACACAATACTCATTTTGAATTACCAAAATGAGTATTGTGTGTACTTTTATGTAGTCTGTTGATAAAAACACAAAGAAGGTATAACATTTAAATCGTACAGTACTAGTATAGAGATAATATATGAATAAAGTTCGCAATTTCATAAACTATACATTTCAACAATTTCTCAACCTTCTTTTAAAAACTGAAATATTCTTAGCACGTTTAACTTTATAAACTTTTTACACGTTCTTCGTATCAAATTAAAAAATATAATGTGAGATTTTTCGTACTGAAATTAAGCATGATTGAATATTAAATATAATGAAAAAACTTCTTAAGTATCACCATTAAAAAATTTAGAAATCTCAGTCAAGCCATCATATTTGACATTTGTTTTTTGCTTAAGAAATGTTAAAAGAAGTACATGTATATATCAGGCAAATACACTTTAACTGCTGTTTTTTTTCTATAAAATTGACGGTTGTTGCTAATATTCCACATAATGGTTACATTGGTACCCTGATATCGACGTACGTCAGTTTTATTTCCAACAATGACATACAAAACAAAATTGACATTATACGATATGCCCTATATGGCCAAGTAATTGTTCAATATAGAATACAAATGTTTAATGTTTAATCCTCGGGTTCACTGTCACTATTATGCGATTTGCTGCTTGTATGCCTACTTGCCATTCTAACCCTAATGAGTTGATGTCCCTGTTGCATGACTTCATAGTATTCGTCATTTTCTAAATGTTCCTCAGTATAACTCTTAGCTAGTTTAAGCTGGTATACGCCGAGCGTTATGTCCCTGATGTCCTCCTCCGATAGCTTCGGAAAATCTTCAACTGAATCGTTGCCGTCTATTTTTTGCCACCTACCACTTCTGGAATGCAAGTTTTCATTTGATACCCGTTCCATGAGCTCATTTTTCTTCTTTGACATGTGAAGCATTTTTGTACCTAAGAGAAGGTCTTCAGTTTCATTACCAGAATTAAGTGGTGGTCTATACTTATTACATATGGCACTGACAAAACGTGTATATTCACCAGCATACGGTATAAGGGAATTGGGTAATACTTTGTCAAGCAATCGCCACTGCTTGATTCTACCATTAACGGACTCAACAACCCAGCGGACTTTTGTTACTAGACGTGTTGTGTTACCATCTTCAACCGAAAGTTGCTTCTCGTTACGTTTGAGAAAGCTTGGCATTTTAATTTGAATACCAAATTCTTCTAAGAGGTCGATACTGTCCCGAAATCCCCGATCAACCACAACAACATCATTTGTTTCAAACCATTCCTTAATTTTCTCCAAGTTATTTTTAAAAATTGAGTTCAAAATTTTGGCATCATTGTTTTTGCTGTTACAAAGGTAGGGTCCAATCACACTTACAATGTATCCAGATGTAGTTACAAACATCATTGGCTTAATCAGGTTGCGGTATTTGTGCATGCTATATGTACTACGTTGAAATTTAAATTGTCCACTCTTTTGTATGTAAATATAAGTACCATCAATTACGAGTATAGCAGTTGTGTTTGTGATATCACCAAAAAGTGTTTGTGCCAGTGGACGAGTGTGGTTTTGTATAACACTTTCTCGGGATACATGATCAAAACCTAAATATTTTGGTGTAAAGTGCTGTTTAACTGCATCTCTTGCGGATGATATAGCTTTCCTGATAGAATCTTTGCTTATATTAAACAGAGTTGCTAATATCTTATTAGACATTCCCGAACGAAGTTTGGTCAAAAATATACCAATGCATGTTCTCATGCTTCGTACTCGAGTATCTCTTATAGCTGAGTTTGGAATGTGAGAACATAAGTCTTCAAAATCAGTTATTGTTAAGCCAGTCAAATTTCGAATATCTGTGTCATTTAAAGAAGAAGATTTATCAAAGTCAATTCTAGCGTTTTTATTTTTTAATGCATGTTCTCTAATTGTATCGATCAATTCAAGTAGTCCACTGCGATTGAAGTCAGAAACAGTATACACACTTGTTATGTCTTCGTTAGCTTCTTTTGTAAAACCTTCAGTACATAAATGACGAGGACAGCACCGTGATCAGTTGTAAGAACAGTTGGTGTATTTACTCGTGCTTGCTCTTCTCTGTAGTATTTCCGTCGACAAGTATCACAACATCATCATCATTAGGTAAAACAAGAAAACTCTTACTGAGAAAATTGCGCAGATTTTTATTTGCTTCTCCACACAAAGGTCTTCTTTTTCCGGGTTTTGTTCTTTTTTCACACAATATACATTTAAAATCTTTTCGTCCCTTTCTTATGTTGTCCATTCTGAAAAAAAAACAACATAAGAGGATACAATTAATATTTGGTACATTCAATTGCAAAATCTATTCAACTCCTAAACAATTTCATTGCAATCTGTTTTTGTTAAATATATATGTGTTAACTGAATTGCAAAATCTAACGTTAGCCTGTGCTAAAAGAATATTGGTGAAATAACATGATTAATTTTAATAATTATTATTGTAAAGAAGAGAATAGAAATAACCGTTTATGAATATAGGCGGAATACATTTTCCAATGTGTTGTGCAGAATAGCCATATTAAATGGGGAGGCGAATAAATAAGACAGCAAACCAACTACAGAGAATACCAGAACATTTTCGACATAAGACAAGCCCGTCACTGTAATGACTGTTCAACATAAATTACTTTTTTAAGTAACAGTCATTTTGAGGTTTTATGTTTGATGTTTGTTATTCACATAACACAAAATTTAGATCAAATATATCAAATTCCTTTGAAGATGAAAAACTGTCTTCCACTCTTCTTAATAGCGTAGATTATGCAAGCCAGTGCATCACATGAAATTTTCATAAGATTTTCCATAGTAGAAATAACATTCTTAGTTGTCAAATTCATTGATGTGTTTGGTTATATGAATATTAAATGAATGTATTGACATTCAGTGGCAAATATTTCATACATTTTCAGACTATAACATAATGTAATCCATATTTTATACTTTTACTTCTGGATGCTGCGCATAAATATCTAATTTTAAATCTGGTTTCGCAATGCTTTTAATTGAACTATTAATCTTCTGCACTCAGTATCAAATAATCGATTGCATAAAACTGTATAGATGCTTACTCATCTTTAATTCTACAAGGAAATTATCATGTAATAATTTAGGTCCACTGTCTGCAGAATCCATTTATGTCTAAAAATTTAAAAAAAATCACGTCTTTATATATATTGGTGCATGTTGATTTTGTTTCTTTTTTATATCTATCATGAAAGTCAACAGAAGGAACTTTCCTCTTTAACACATATACCATTTCTTCATGGGTAAAACACGTGCAAATCTGTAGATAATGATACTATAGTACATGTAGCTTGAGAATTAAGAATTAACAAAGTTCGGGTATATACTTTTATTTATCTTTTTTTTAAATTTTTTGTTGTTTAAGGTGTCTTTACAAAATTATTGATAAATGATAATAGGATTTAAAACGACAAATGTAAAAAATTACGGAACGATGAAAAAAAATTGGTCCAGATGAGACTCGAACGTAAATTCTTATCTTTCTAACGTAGCGTGTAAGCGATATGAACCACTCTACCACATCAACTACATTACGTTAATAACTCATATTTATCATTTTGATTCATAAACGGACGGAACAATATTATTTCGTTTTCATTTCTTTACTACTTATTTACGATTTAACTAAATTGTTTATATCATTGATATGGCCATTTCATAGTTGTTGATTATGTCTAATCTAAATTATTTTTGTTTTACCAAACAGACGTGCAAAATGAAAATGAAGTTTTCGTCTGCTGTGCCGTGGAATTTTATACGTGTTTTATAGTAATCTGTGTTCCGTTTTAAATACTTAATTTTGAATAACTTTGAAGCAATTAATAGAAAATAAATCATAGAATTAAAATTTTGTTTTTATTTCGATTTTTCTTAGAGATAATAATATGAAAAGATGGAAGAACTTTAATTTTACGTGACATGTTCATGGTGTAGTTTATGCATAACTTACCTTTCACGGAGTACGAATTCCACCATTTTCAAAAATATGATCACATCTTTTAAATTATATTAAGTTCTTTCAATTCTGTCTGGCAATATCAAGTATTTAACGAATGATACGCTGATTTCTATTCCGCTATAAAAAGCTTCTAAACAACAGCACTAGTAAAATTCCGTGCGTCAGTTCCGTAATCGCTTACAACAAATATACGCAAGGGCTAGGCTATGCTTGAGAGGCTATCAGGGGCGTAGCTGCCGTTAGGCACTTTAGGCATGTATGTGAAGTTAGCAGCCGGTTCCTTATTCGATATTCGATATTCAATATCCAACCGGCTGCTAGCAGTCGGTTCGATATTTAAATTTAGTTGAAAATCATAGAAAATTCAAACATTTGATAACAATAAAAGCATGGTTTTCAGAGTCAAGAGGAGTAAAAAGATACGTAGGAAATCGTTTAATGTCCCCTTTAAGCTGTCGTAAATTCTCCTTGTCCTCGAATATAAACCCTTATGTAAGTTGCATATTTGTTTTTATGTAATATAGATTTCTGTTAATAAAAGATGTAATTTATATATAATATATGATACAAAAACAAAAACCGATCACTCTAGAAACATTAAGAATAGTAATATTCATAGGAAGCCCAAAAAAAAAAGAAATGTATAGCGAAAACCTACCGGAGACCGCTGAAATGACGATGAGACCCCCCTGGCCATTCAATGTCCATTAAATTCGAGGAAATCATAGA